TCTAGAAAAAAAGTGATTTGGGAAAGTGATTTGGGGAAGAAAATCAGTTGTTAACCAAAGGAAAATAATAATAAAATAAAATAAACAAATTTGAAGTAAGAAGAGAGAAAGTAGAGGAAAAGAGAAATGGAGAAATACTGAGGATTGGAATTGACTTGGTTTGGTTAGGTTAAGCTCCTATTTATAGTTGTAGTTTTGAAACCGAGACATTAACTACAGGTAATATCAACGGTCATCACATTATTTTAGTTATAAAAACTGCAAGTAAAATCAAAGGTCATCATAATTATTTTAATTATAATATCTCAATGGTTACAAAATTAAATAAAAATAATTATTGTCATTTACCATAACTGCTGAACGTTACAACTAAAACCACCACTAATTAAGGTTACAATTTTAAAGTAAAATTATGACACACTATTAGCAATCAATGCCTATAACACTATACATAAGGGTACACACTATTATTATTATTATTATTATTATTATTACTATTTTTCTAGGATATTACACGGGCAGTTTCCGTATAACCCCAAATGAAATCACACTAGAGCTTCTCAATATCACTAAAGCACGGACACGCTGATCAAACAAAATTTTGCGTGTCGGACACGTGTCCGACACGGACACGCTCCGACACGCTCGGACACGCGTCCGACACGTGGTCAACATTTGGGGACACGCGGTCAACTCTCCGACACGTTCCGACACGTTTTTTGGACACGCAGTCAACTTTTTTGGACACGCAGTCAACGCTAGGACACGCTCGGACACGTTTTTTTTTTTTTTAAATCTTAATTTTATTTTGTTAACTAAATATAAAAGAAATAATTTATAAATTAATTTTTTTCTGTTATGAAATTTGACATGAAAAATTAACAAAGTACGAAAAATTATTTATATTTATATTTATGTTATGAAATTTAAATATTTGATTGGTTATATGACTTATTATGGACTCTTATATGTCTTAAATATAAATTATATTATATATATTAAAAATTTATTTAATATCAAAACGTGTCCCAACGTGTCCAAATATGACATTTTTTAGAATTAACGTGTCGGCGTGTCGTGTCGTGTCGTGTCGTGTCCCGTGTCCGTGTCCGTGCATCATAGCTCAATATCCTAAAAGACATGGGTTGGGAGGACATTATTCTGCATGTGAAAGCTAAGAATGGCAGATATAACACTCTTCGCCAGAGTAATTCTACAAGCCATAGAGAGGTAATTTGATAATTGATGAGTCTCCAATTTATTGCTAATTAAGGGTTAATTTGAGCATGAAATTGATTTAAAAATAATTAAAAGTTATGAGCATTATAATTAAAGTGTTATTTTATTCTCTGTAATATTCTCATAAAAATTCGTATATTTTAAGCTCAATAAAAATATAAATTAGAGAGTTCAAGTGGATTTGTTTCAGGATTTCTGAATCATATAATTGATTGAAGATCTTATTGAATACTCTCTTGAATATTTTTAAGGAAAGTTTTCCTTTAAAGATAAAAGGGAAGATTTTAACGGTTTGATTGAAGACATGATTAGAGATTCTAGTGAAGATTCCATTGAAGATCTTATGAGAAATTAAAAGATATGGTTTCATCACTATTAAAAGGGAATTCTTGGAAACAGAGGCTTGCACATTCTGAAAGAGAGGAACATAGAGACCAGAGGAGAATCCTATTTTTTAGAGCTCAAGTCGAAGATTAAAGGAAGATTAAAGTTTTGCATTGGCGATCAACCGTTATTCTTTTTTTACTCACTTTATTTATTTTAATTTCTTTTATTATTTCTTTTAAGCCAGATATGTCTGACTAATTTCTCTTAATGGTTAAGAATATTGATCTGACCTGAATCCTTGTTTTAATTATTTTCATTAATAAACTGTCTCCAATTATTTGTGTTTACCTTAATTTGCATGTTTAAATTCTTGTATGATTTGGACAATTGTATAGGAATAAAGAGGGTTAGGATTTACAATAGACATATTGTGATCTTTATCTAGACAGGGGTAGAACACCAATTCATACATGATCTAAACATAGGTTTGTAGGAATTTCGAACTTTTATAGTTCATCATGCTTAAAGCTTAATCTAAAAGGGATTTCTAAGACATAGGATTCTGATTGAGTTAAAGGGTTAAAGAACTGAGACATTAGGATTTAACCAATTAATTTTAGATGATGAATTGTTTGAAATAATTGAGATAGAATATTATTGAATTGAATTAAACCAATTAAGGGGGATCGAAGGTTAAGTAAATCTAACTGCGTTTTTATACATAATTTCAAGTTCATCTTTTAAATCAATTTCTTTAGTCTGCATCTTTAATTGAATTTTTAATTAGATATTGATTACCTGTTGGAATCACTTTTGAATTGTCTAACTTAGATAAAAACGATGAAACTATTTCTTGTAATTAGTCCTCGTGAGAACGATACTCTACTCATTCACTTTATTACTTGTACGACCGGTATACTTGGCGTATTTGCAACAATAACTTCAGCATAATGGTCTTTTTTCGTTTTGCCATGTTTCATCAAAGAGCCTAAGTAGCGACCAAGGTTATTAACTTTCTTGAAACCACTAATATCATGGACTTCAACAGCTAGGTCAGCAAGGACATTCTTGGAAAAGTAGATACAAGATTTTTCAATACCCACGGATTGATCGAACATTTTGGAGAAGGTATCAAGGCAATGAATAACAGAATTCAGATGACTCATAGAAGCTTCTACAAACAAGATAATGCCATCAACAAACATGAGATGACTCATAGTATCCTACAAACAATTGCAAATACTGCTGGCTTTCGAGCTGTATGTGGCGAGCTTATTTTCGGTGGACCAGGAGCTTGTGCTCCCTTTCCAAAAATAGGAGAGAAAAAAGATTGGGAGGAAATTTAGAAGGAAAATAGGGGTATAAATGGAAGAAAATATTTTCTTTTTTGGTAAAGGACCACCAAATTTATCATGGTTCGGGACCATGTTAAAAAATCCGTATGTGGCGTATCGAAGTCATGCTAAAGCCTAAAGCTAAACGCTCTATGGATAACTAATATTTAAAAAGGGGAATATATTTCTAATGAAACAATTTGTCTCGTACAACACATAAAAAAGTGAGTGAAACTTATTTTTCTTTTTCTTTTCTTCTTCTTTTTAGTGGGTCTCATTCATTTTTTTATGTCACGAGAAACATATTTCCCACTTAAGAAACTAAGGTGGTGTTCGGTATGGAGAATCTGATAAAAATCTTGGGAAAGTGGGGTAGGTAAAATATGTTTACTATGTTTGATATGAGTTGAAGTTAGAAAATACTAGTATATTATTTTTCATGTGAAAATCGTTTTGAACTAGGCTATGACAAAAAAAAAATGCCATTTGAACCATTATTGTTTTAATCCCATGAATGAAGAAACGTATTTTCCTGAAAAAGTCTACTTTTTGGTACAACTTGTGTGAAACATGATAGATGTGATAAAAAAATTTGTGGCCTTAAACATGACGGTGTAATTTCAATATTTTAACATAAGAGTAATTTCACTACACATTCCTATTATTATTTTATCATCAACCAAACATAATATTAGTAAAAATAACCCAACTTTCTCGAAAAGTTTTTTGCCTACCAAACACTTTTTTGTAACTTATTTGAGCAAAAAAAAATTCACCATATTCCGAGTTTTTTTTTTCTCAATAATAAAAAATTTCTCCGTACACTTAAAAAATGTTAGGTATGTTCTTGCTGAAATCTCACCTTCTAAAAATTGGTATCCAGTATTGACTTGAAAAATGTTAGGCCTTAACATCTATGGATCCAAGTTTTGTCATGAATATAGTCCTAACTTTCAGATACATTTAGCCAAAATAGCATGAGGAGAGATAACACCTATTAAAGGTGTAACAAAGTCCAAAAAGAAAAAAGAAAAGAAAAGGAAACAAACAAACAATGTTGTTTTCTACGCAAATCATCTAATTGGTTAGTTCTCTCTCTCTTTAATATATGTCCAAAAGCAAAACAAAATTGCATGGAAATAAAATCTAAACAACTCCTGATGCAGTCAGCTACTACGAGCTGGTCTAAAGCAGGAGTAACGCAATTGTAGAATTCATAACCCTGTTCTCGGTAATTGAGCCAGAACTCCTACTTAAACTTATCTATATAAATATAATAAAATTGCCACAAACTTTATAAATGCCTCGATAAACCTTTAAATAATCTAAAAGTTGGTATCATCCTGTAACTTGAAATAGATAAATTGAACACAAAGTCATAATTAGTTAACGTAGTGCCGAATTAAGGAAAAAGGTATTATCATTAACATTAATAAGTAATAATAAAACAAATAGAATTAGCAAGTTTTTTTTTCTTAGTGGAAAATTATAAAACAAATTAAATTAGCAAAAGACAAATAGAATTATGGAAAGACGAGAATGTTAGAAAACTGTTCAGGGTTAACAGTCGAGAGATGAGAGAACACGTAACGTGTTAGGCCAACTTCACATTCTTTTTTCATGATTTTTTTTTTCTGCCAATGGTCCTTTACATCTTCTAATGTGCCAGGACACGTGGCAATATTTGGTAAACATGCAGTGCCACACAGAAGCTATTTACGTCAATGTAGCGGTTCTCTTGATTCTCGTACTGCCACGTGTGTAGGTTGTAGCAATTCATGGTACAGAAGAGCTGCTAGATGCTACCAATGAAACAATTTTCTCAATTTTTTTTTTTTTTTTGGAAACATATTTTCTCATTTATTATCACTGACTTAGAATGGAAGCTGGGTCCCGCATGATGTTTGTGGGTAGCTTTTTCGTCACCAAGAATTTATTACCCTTGTAATTGCTACCTTAAACGTTGATGGTTCTGTTCTAGTGTTGTTCTTGCTTTCTACTATCATTCTCTCACGCGTATTTTGTGATATGGGCATGTTATATACCTCTTTGGTTGTTCTTGCTTTAGGGACACTTTGCATTCATTTAATATATTAAATAATGCGTAGCTTGATTTCAAAGCTAGAATTAAACGCCTCAGTGAGGAGTTTCTAAGCTTGTTATTTTGCATATCTACGATACATCAAGCGCTGGATCACGTTTTTTAGTTAAGTGTGGGAGTCTCAGTGGCAGTTTCTTGTCTTGCTTGTGATTGGTTGGGTCACTTTCCATTCTTTCTGCTTCCGTTTCAAACCTCAAATGAACAAGTGGTCCTACCCAGTATGAATTATTAGCTCTATTTAAGTTCCGGATGTGGGAAAAGTCTCTTGTTAACTTCTATTTTCAATGGGAATTTACTTCACATTGAACTTCATCTGAATGTTTGATAGGTAACTCTCTTTCTAGCCTGTTATGTATTTTCATTCTGATGGTTTTCTATAGTTTGTGTTTTGTTTTCTCTCTTAGTGGGAAGGTATATTATTCTATGCAAGCGGGGGAGAATATGTAAAAGCATCTCCTTTATCTTTGTATATATATAAAAAAAAAAGCATCTCCTTCATCAACTTTTTGAGTTGATCCCTATTCCTTGATACATATTCGATTATGATTAGACTTGATTTGTTGGCGGGTATTCAACCACATAAATATGGAGAATACAATAGTTTATGGGCTCTAAATTATATTCTGTTAGTATTAATATTATAACAAGAAGATTAACTTATTGCTAGATATTGGAGCTCGTTCTGTATTTCTTCATTTTGGTATCACTTTCCTTATAACTCATCAACTACTTGTTGTAGTTACTTGGTTCGTTTGGTTTCTCAAACAACATACTAATTTTGGCTTCCCAGAGATGGCTGAGAAAGAGAGCTTGTATTCATCAGGCGATTGGAGAAGATTACCAATTTGCACTTTCTTTAAGGATGCCAGGTATGGTATAATACAATATCATTTCTGTAGTACATCTTTGTTAAAAGATAGCAACTCCTAATTTCAAAAGCTAAAAAAGTAGTTTCCTTCAGAAGTTTTTTTTTTTTCCCTCTGAAAAGTTTCATCTGTTGTATTTTAATGATATTAATTTCACAACATGGTTTGTAATTTCAATTCCACTCTCCCCTAATTAGCAACCTAAGAGGTGATGGGGATTGGGGAGTGGTAAGCTATTATGGTGAACGCCTGTATTTAGCTTTGTGAGGCTTTACCTCATTTATTTTGAGTTCAATTTTTTATTTTTTATTTTTTTTATTTCAGCAGTCATCGATGATGTTCTTCAGAGGTAACTCTTGTTTCTTCTTCTTACTGCAGACTAGTTTTTAAATCAGACAGTCTTGGTCGGGAAATATTGTCAATTGCATTGCCTGCAGCAATGGCTTTGACAGCTGATCCTATTGCTTCACTTGTTGACACCGCATTCATTGGCCAAATAGGTAGTTCTGTTATTACTTTATAAGCTTTGAGCTTGTTACAGACATCTTTACCCATCTAAGTTTGTCATCTGAAATAGTAGGTGGGCATGGCTGTTCAAATTAGTAGTAGCCTTCTGTCTTCAGTATCTTTGGGTTATGCTTCAATTGACTTGCATATCAAACAAATTATATAAATGGGTTTAGTTTATATTAGGACAGGGAACAACAGGAACAATGTTAGTCAAGATGCGAGTGACTGAAGGTTATCTCATGAGTGGTTGAATTAAAGATAGTTCACTAGAAAATATGAATAGTAGTTATAGGCAAATGACATGTTGACCTGACTTGAAAATTGGAGAGAAAATATCCCAATGATCAACACTAATTTATTTATATGTATTTGAATTTCTTATTATGCATCCAGTGTTGAATTGAATATTATTGGTCCATACAGGTCCAGTGGAGCTTGCAGCTGTAGGAGTTTCCATAGCTCTCTTCAACCAAGTGTCAAGGATAGCAATATTTCCACTTGTCAGTGTCACAACCTCTTTTGTGGCTGAGGAAGATAGCCTCAATGGAACAAGTTCACAGGTAGAGGAGAGTGGCTGCTTGGAAGCAGGTCAGGCTATGAATGCTGAAACCGAAGATTTCTTACCACAAAAAGGTACCATTCTCTCATACTTTTCTAATTGGTTTGGTCTCGGCTAAAGTTTTTCTTGGTTTCCACTTTAGAGTAACTTCTTATTGCTTTATAGAAAAACCAATAAAAAGTTTTCTACATTGCACGTTTAGACTCCTGCAGTTTTCTCGGTCAGTTACAGGTGGAAATGTTCACAATTCAGATTTGGTTGGAGAAAGCTTTAATATAATTAAGGAGGAACATAAGAGAAGACATATCCCTTCAGCTTCGTCAGCATTATTTATTGGTGGCATTCTCGGCCTCATCCAGGCAGTATTACTTATAGCTGCAGCAAAACCTTTATTGAACTTCATGGGAGTAACTTCTGTAAGCACTTTTGCATAAATATTAAGCGAAAGTAATTTTTAGGCTGTTAGCACTTTGGCATTTATTTTAACTTGATCCTTTAGTGATTGCACCTTAAAATAGCATGGGATGGTTGCCTAATAATACGGATTATTTATACAGGACTCTCCTATGCTACACCCTGCACAGCGGTACCTGACATTGAGGTCCCTTGGTGCTCCTGCAGTTCTTCTCTCATTAGCAATGCAGGGAGTCTTCCGAGGATTTAAAGACACTAAAACTCCTTTATATGCCACTGGTATGCCTTGACAAACTTAAATTGTTAATATGATCTAGTGTGACAATATTCTGCTAGCATCTGATTCTAATTACTTTTTATTTGATGTAATCTAGTGGCTGGAGATGTAACCAACATAGCACTAGATCCTCTATTCATGTTTGTATTCCGCTTGGGTGTCAGCGGTGCAGCCATTGCGCATGTCATATCTCAGTATGAATGACTCAGTAAACTACTTTAAGCAGAACTATCCTGTCCATTATTGCTTATTTTCCTTTTATTTCTCTACCCTAGTCATTACTTATTTTAGAATTAACTGTAAATGTAGGTATCTAATTTCAGCTATACTCCTGTGGAGGTTGATGGAACACGTTGATCTTATACCTCCAAGCACCAAGCATCTGCAATTTGATCGATTTCTTAAGAATGGTGAGGGTTTATTTTGCTTAACCAAATGATCTTTGGGTGGGGGGCGGCTGTATTACTTTTCTCCTATTAAGCTTTCATCCTCTGAACCATTACTAAAATTGTTTAATAAAGATATATTTCGTGGGGATGTTACAGAAATAAACAATTCATTTCATGGTATTTAATCACAAATTTAGTGGATCAAAATTTTCTATTATGCTTTTCTTTTCTCCTTTTTCATTCAAATTGATACTTTTATTAATTGTTGCCCTTGGATATATGTTAGTTAGCATTTTAGTCTTTGAGAATTGACACTATATTTTCCCTTTCTTGTTTCATTCTTGTTATCCAGGTTTTTTATTATTAATGAGAGTCATTGCTGTAACATTCTGTGTGACGCTGGCTGCATCATTAGCTGCACGCCAGGGATCAACATCCATGGCTGCATTTCAAGTCTGCCTGCAAGTTTGGTTGGCAGTGTCTCTTCTTGCTGATGGTCTGGCTGTTGCTGGGCAGGTTAGATATGATTACTTTGTCCACTAAATACCTTCCCATGTTACTTCATAATGGTTTCATATCAAAATATTGGATAAATTAATATGATAAATTATTAGAATTCATTTTCTAAGCACATTTTCCTGTGAAAAATGGGAAACTGGTGAAGTTGGAAAAAGCTTGACCGGGTATGAAATGAAACTATAGAAGCCACAATTCCCACATTTCAAATGGCCAATTGAATCCTCAGTGTGCAATAATTATGTCATCCAATTGATTCTATTCTGTAATTACTTGTCCTATCTAGGATGCATTCACTCTCTACATCTTGGTTATTGGTACAATGCCTTCCTTTAGAAACAGAAGATAAAGGCAATTTTTCTAGTCTGCTTTTATTAGTTCACAGCATCCAAAATAACATCATGTTGGTTTCAGGCTATTCTCGCCGGTGCATTTGCTAATAACGACTATGACAAGGCCACAGCAATAGCATCCCGAGTATTGCAGGTTCTTTAAAATGTTAAAAGAAATCCCCGTCTTTCCTCAACACATTAAATTGTAAACTTGACAGACAATTATACTGCAGATGGGTTTGGTTCTAGGATTGGCACTTGCATTCATTCTTGGAACAGGATTGCACTTTGGAGCTAAAATATTTACAAAGGATGTTAATGTCCTCCACCTCATTAGAGTTGGGATCCCGGTAATCCATTCATGTTTAAATTGGAAAGGATATTGGCAATCTATCTTTTCAACCCTTAAAAGCATTGGAACTTACATTCATGTTGATTCTTTTACCAGTTTGTAGCATTCACTCAACCCCTGAATTCCCTAGCATTTGTATTTGATGGTGTCAACTTTGGGGCATCTGATTTTGCATATTCAGCCTTCTCCATGGTGGGTATTTTCTTCCAGTTTTTTAATGATATATGGTATGATAAGTGGCATATTCTAAGCTATCTGCACCCGCCTTTTATTTCATTAAATCTTACGGACTCATTAAAAATGATGCAGTTTTTATATCCATATATCCATACTTTTGCTACAATGCTTAATTTCCTTGTGTAGTAATAAGCATAACAGAACTATACAGTTTGGAACTATACTTCATAATGCTTAAGGGTAGAAAACTAGAAATTAATTTACTTCATTATGGTATTCTTCACTCTCAGGTTGTGGTGTCAATTATTAGCATAATTTGTCTGCTTATTTTGTCATCCGCTGGTGGTTTCATTGGAATTTGGGTTGCTTTGACCATCTATATGAGTCTTAGAGCATTTGCCGGCTTCTTGAGGTAACGATTCTCAAATATATATTTTTTCCTAATGTTTTCTTTCATAATCCTTTGTTTCCACCGAATTGAATTGATCACTGTCAATACACTTGTAACCCTCATGACTTTGATGAGTTGAAGGCAGTAACTCTCAATCAATGAACTACGTTGATGCAGGATTGGAACGGGATCAGGACCTTGGCAGTTCCTTAGGAGCTCATAATCATAGCTACATATTTGGCCTCAGCTTCAGTGGTGTTTACATTAAAGCGAGAAGAAGAGTTGTCCCTAGGTTTATATATCTCCTGGATATTCTTTTGAAAAAACCGACACTTCTCCTTGCTTGATTGTGCTTGGGGCATTGGTTGGAAAATCAACCTCTGCTTCAGAATATGTACCCAAAGAAAAAAAATCTTCAACTGTATTCTCATAGGCTCACATAAAGAGAAATGAAATGTAATATAGGATCAAACTTTTGTATGTAACCATGCAACAAATATAATTACATGAATACCATGAAAATGAAAGATTGCATGGAACAATACTAGTGCATGAAATATTTTTTCTTTTTAGAAAAAAGATTGTTTTGTTTTGTTTTTTGGTGACTCTTTTTCTTTTTAGAAGTAACATATGCAAGACCAAGCACAAGACCTGGAAACGGTTAGCTATAGCAGAGTAGTCTAATAAGCTATATTCAAAGATATGATGGTGGCACTACTGTGGAAAAAGAAAAATAAACTCAAATAAAGCAACACTACTAACCTAAACTAAAAACAGCAATTTACATGCACCGGAAAAAAAAAAAGATTTACAATCACTATTTTTTTTTTTTTGTGGGGGTGGGTGCAAAGACTTTTATTTTAATGTAAGAAAATGAAAATGAAAATGAATGAAACGCACATAATTTGGGTTTCTAATTAACCAGGGAAAAATAATTTTAAAAATTATATAGACTAGTTAATTAAATAAATAAATAACATTGAGTCGAAAAAAACTAATTTTTGTTTAATTGTCTAACAATTTTTTAATTTAATTCTCATACTCGACACCATTCAACAATGTTTTCGGTAAAATATACATTTTAAAAATGAAATTAAATTGTTAAAATATAACTAATTATCATCTGGATCTTGTTGTTTTTAAAATTAAAATAAGTGGTTTTTTTATAATATAGCTCATACTTTATTGATATTAAAATTTAATTTTAATATTATCCTAATAGACTAGATAATAATTGTGAAATAATCATTATTTGATAACTTGGTAGCGTAAAGCTAACATTTTACATGTAGAATTGTCAAGAATTTTGCCTCAAGTTCCAACACATATACAGTTAAGCTATTATTTTATTAATTTTCACATATTAGAATCCTTACATCAATAATTGGAAATTACGTGACCATGAATATAATGCATTGATAATTTAATAATCAATTAGTATCTCATTTACCGACACTATTGATAGTTAAAAGATATGTATATGGTTGTAATATAAAGTGTGTGTCCAATACTTCAGATTTTTGAAAAGTTGTTTGTGGCATGTATTATTATGTCTAATGAAGTGTTTTCTGTAGAATTATTATGTTTGTAGAATTATTATATTTGTTGTTATTATCGTTTCCTTGCCTATAAAATAAAACCTTCAGTGTTTGTATTGGTAAAAGGAGTTTGCAAGAAATAAAATTTGTGTGTTATTTCCCCGAGTTTCTAAAAAGTTTTCTCTTCTCTTCGAAAACTTAGTATAATGTTAGGAAAAAATATTTATACTTTTAAATGACACAACTTATATTCTTTCACTCTCACAAAGAGGTGGAACCCACACCTTTATTTTTTTGTCAACTCTCTCTTTTCCTTTATCTATCTATTTCTCTCTCTTAAAATTACATAACTTTATATCTTTTAAAATGACACACACTTTTCCCATAATGTTATTACTATAATTGCTAATCTCTAGATGAGAAAGTTAGTATAATCTACACTTGCCCTGCAAAGGAATCCTGTATCAAAAAACAGAGTCTGTAATGATCCAGTATTATGTTCCTCTCCTCGTTAAGAATTCATGGATGATAGTCTCCAGTAAAAGAGCTAAGAGGCTAAGGAGTGCCGTGAAATGCTCAGACAAAAGGAAGACTAGTCCATGGTTTCTTAAGGATTATGAGGCTCCTGACCACTTGGTATCAGAGCCAACCATTGTGTCATTCCTGATGACAGGCTCCCTACCTGGTGAAGGCAGCTTTAAGGAAACTCTTCGAGTTTCTTCCGGACAAAGCGTAAAGATAGTAATGATATTATATGAGGTGAGTAGGAGAGGAACTTCTCAAGTGAAGTTCAATGCAATTTGCTTTTATTTATCCTAGGATATATAGGTGAGTTTGTGCAAATTTTTAGAAGGAAAAAACTATTCTCATATTACATGAGATAAATTTGTTTCCTATACTCTTTTCGATAAATGTGTCACTTTTTTTTTTAGGTGATGGAACCCACATTTGTCTCTAAGATATAAAATAACTTATTAGTTTAATAAAATCGTTTTTAGAATCTAAAAATCTACCTAGGTATATTAAGATAAATAAATGGCAGTCACACTTCATTACGATGGGAGTACTAAGGTTTTTTCCCTCGTTCACAATATAATATAACCTATTGACAAATTATTTATGGAAAAAAAATTCTCATATTATATTTAAAGTATTTTTTCATGTTGTGATTCTTTATGTACAATTTTTTTTTAATAAATATGAAATCTACTATTATTTGAATCACAACATGAAAAAATAATTATCTCACAAAATCAAAACCCATTATTTATTAATGTAAAAACAATGCGTAAAAAATTATGTACAATTATTATTTTCAAAACTAATTTCTTTGATTTTAATAAAAAAGTTAGCGCAATATTTGTTGCGTTTGGGCAATAGCCGCCTCCCAGAAAGAGTGTGTGTGGAAATGGCGAGTGCGTTGGGTAGCAGAGTAGATGGTGTTCGAAACTCTTCGTTATTCAGATTCTCACTCAACTTCATTAGAACCCTAAGTTCTTCTCCTTCTTCGTCTTCTTCTTCTTCTTCTGCTGCTGCTGTTACTCAAAACCCTAAGAAATCAAAGCGAAGAAAGAAGAAGAACTTGTTCGAGGTGACTCAGTTCTTACCTAACTGGGGAATCGGCTACCACCTTGCCAAGACTCATTGGAACGAAGTTTCTTATGAAATCACAAAGATCAATCTCTACAAGGTCCCTTTCAATCTTAAACTTTCTTCTCTACATTCTATTGTTTTTATCAGAATTCCACCGTTTCCAAAGCTTATGTCACTCGTTTTCAACTAATGTCTCCACAATCTAACAATGCCGATTTCATTCCTCTTTTTTTCTCATGAATTTTAAGAATCTCATTATTTATTTATTTTTGGCAGGATGGAAGACACGGCAAGGCATGGGGGATTGCTCATAAAAATGGTTAGTTTTCTGTTCTTTCTTTTCCCTTATACCGTGGGAAGCATAAATGCTAACAAGTGCTTCATTAAGAAGTTATTATATGATTTACAGAAAATTCTGTTTGTTGAACATGCTGCTGTGCTGTTCAGAATGCCTTTCTGAATTCATGCATATGAATTTGCCTTGGTGGTCATTTAGGGTTATCTATTGTGAACACTTAACAACAGGATGATCAGTGGAGATTTTTCCATAATCAATAAAAATTTAGATTAGTGAAAAGTATTGGGAGTCTCTTAGTGAGGACTGATGAGGTGTTTGACAAGCTTCATTAATTTTTTTGGTTTGCAAATTAAAACAAGTGTGCTTCTGTCAATTATGAATCCCTAGAAACAGTAGCATCAGTTGTGGGGTTTTTTTTTTTTTTGTAAGACTTTCCACACTTGTCTCTGTCTCTGATCAATGTTGTTTGTCAGATTTATGTTTTTTTTTCTTTCCTTTTTTTTTCCCTTTTGGTGAAGGTTTGTCCGTATTTCTAATAATACTATGGTGCGTATGGATGCTCACATGGGAAGTTGAAGTGTTACTTGAGTTGGTTTATGTTGTTTATGGGTTCACTTAAGGAGATTTGTTGGAGTTATTTATTAGGTTAAGGTTGCAAAACAAGTTGGCAAGAGTAAAGTCTGGTAATCTTTTCAGGCCTTATACCTTCTGAGATCATGTGTAAGTATTTTTGTTTCCTTCTGTAACTTTCCATCAAACCCTGCAATATGTTTTCAGCCTACATAGCTGATCTTCCTGCATAAAGCGAATTGATTCTCTAATATGCTAGTCCCTAGTCTTAATCTACTTTCAATCACACTTTTCCACAGTTTCACGGTGAGGCTCATGAACTGCTATTGGTCAAAACTTTCCCTTTAGTATTGTAGTCATTATACATAAACAGACAAAATACCTAAGGCACTTCTCCACGTCATCCATTGTAACAAACTAACAACTACTAACATTGAGAAAAAAAAATTTGAACGTAAATGAGGGCATTGCATATGAACGGGGTTTTTCCGTGCTAGTGTTTGTTACAGTAGCGCTAAATATTTTTCTATGACTTATAATAGAAAAACTCAAGTAGGAAGCTTGAACGTGTTTATAATTTTAATGTTTTCAAGTTTCATCCTTTATATTGGGTCAACTTTCTTTGTTTCATTCATGTTCCTTGTCAAATTATTTATTATCTGTTACAAATCTTATAACTTTTATAAATCTTATAACTTTTTCTTATATGACTATTGTGTATGCGTTGCTTGTGTTAGAACTTAGAAGCTTTATTCTCATTAAATTCTTACAATGAATTTTTTTGCAGCAATTATACTTTATGATGCATTATATACCCAAAAAAATGTATATTGTATGAAGCATTGCATGAATACTGAAGCATTTTTTAGTACTTGTCTGGCTTGCTTTAATTTGATAGAACTTTCTGCAGGTTTGCCAGCAGCAGATGCTCCGAAGAAAATTAGTGGAGTTCACAAGCGCTGTTGGAGGTACCTCCCAAATGTAGTAAAAGCATCAGTAAGCTCACCAAACTCAACGAGTTCAACAGACAGTGGCCTAAAAGTTGAAACCCAAGCAAGTTGATGCTTTTGGCGGACTTGGGGTTTTAGGTTATCGATAGTGTGCCATGTGTCTAAGAGTTGATTTTCAATTGGCATAGTTGTTTTTGATTATGGTAGCATTTTTTAGTCAACCATGAAATATACCTTACGCATTCGTGTTAAGGTTCTTGTGCTTCTTTCTTTTAGATTTTTAACTCCAGACCATGAAAATGGGCTTTGACAGAGTATGCTGGATGGATTTAATTCTTCTTTCTTGATCTGGGTGCTTGGTTTTAACCTTTTATATTGTAGTGAATCTATATTTTCAAGTTTTTAATTGGTGTGTTGTAGGATTAAAATTTAGGCTTGGAACAATTTGAATCCACGATTAAACTTTTACACTATTTGGTATCCATATCCTTCAATTATGCTAATTTAAGTTCATCTAGGCAACCAACAAGGTGTTGGCCGAGTGGTAGTAACTTAAGGCCCGGTAAGGTGGAAAACGCAAGTTCGACCCGGGAAATACATCTGTTGGGAGGGAGAATCTTTAACTACTATCAACCCTCAATCAGATTAGTCCTAAATGAACCGGTTAGTAGAAATACTAAAATAAAAAAACAAAATTCATCAACGACATCATCAAAATTGCCTCTTAACATGCTGGCACATGAAGTATCTGTTGCTAGAATGCGAGGATAAATGTTCGGCATCTGAAATAAATGGAAGTGTTAATCTGGTTTAGTAAGTACACTACACTCTCGCATGGACTTACCTAAGTAACAGTACAAAAAATAATATATGTAAATGCATCTGGGTGAGTTTGTGTTTCTAATTTTAATAGATATAATATGTATTAAAAGAACAAAATTTATCCATAATAAAGAGTGTTTAAAATACAACTTTCATTTTCTCTGAGTTGTTAATAAGATGTAAACTACCTAAACACATTACAAATGCATAATTGAACAAAAACTTAGCTATTTTCAGTACAGAATGGGGTGTGGAATTTTAACATCGTGATCTTGTGATAAATTGAAATTGCTTTGATAACTAGGATCCAATTCACTATGATATGAACAGTACCAATACTAACCAAGAATAAAATAGGCTCAAACAAAGAAAAAAATAGGCCCAATACAAGCGCAAGCACTTGTGATTGTCCTCTGGTGACTTGAAATTGTCCCAGAATTCTACAAATCACAGAAAATATGAAAATATGCACCATGTCACTCTTGGACTAAGACAACATCACTAACCTCCCTGCATCTAATCTCTCTAAACAGTAACTATATATATATACACACACACACACAACAATTAATAAAATTAAAAAATAATTAAAAATATGAAAAGTTAAAGAATAGTATATAAATTTGTGTAAAAGAATTTGATAGCATATTATATAAATTTAATAATATAAAACATTATAGAATATACACACGCACACACAAATAGATGTATACACATGTATGCACATATATAAAAGAAGGATCAACTTATATCAATATAAAAATAATAATTGAAGACATTTAATTTGATACATTGAGTTAATATATTAATAATTTTTATTAATCAAAAAATTGTGTTTATTAATGTAATAATAATAATTTAAAAATATAATAATAATAATAATAATGTATTATATGTGTAAAAAAATTAATAATGTATTATTATTGGGTAATACTTCTCTTATGTTGCATAAGAGAAGTATTATCTCATGCTCAAACAATAATTAGGAGAGAAAAAAAAGTTGAAGGTGAGAGAAAAAAAGATCTTGTGGGATCCATTTGAAAAATGTGAGTGTAGGAGATAATAATTTTTTTATGTAACATAAGAAAAGTAATTTCCATTATTATTTTACATCTAAGTTAATATTATTTTATATAAAAAAATATCTGTCATCAAATATCAATCTACTTATCAACATGCAACCATATATGTTTTATGCACAGCTTCAATAAAGACAGATTCATATGGTAGACAAATGGGGCACATGTTCAACTAATTTTGAAATTTTTTTATCATCACAATAGTGATGATGGATTAGTTTTGCCCATTTTGGTTTAAGGTTTTATATTTCTAAGAAATTATACAACTTAAAAAAATATTCTTACACACAAAAACAAAAGAAGAGAGAAAGTAAGATGATGAAAGAAAAAAAAAATTATGTGGGCCCTAACTTTTGATTATATATGTAAGAATATTTTTTTTATATCATGTAGTATGACAAATATAAAACCCTTTATTTTATATAACAACCGATGAGTAAATTTTAATGAAAAAAATTTAAAGTAACCAATTTTTAATGAGCATGACTCCCCCACTCAAAATTTGACGGAGATTTTATTTTCTTATACAAATGTTACCAAAAGAACAAAAATAGATCATATACTATTATTCAATATTGATTTGATGTACAAAATTATTCAATAATTTTGTTTTAATTATAGTTAAATGATTTCCGCATATACTATTATAATTTATAATTTCTTCAAAAAATTATTCGGTTATTCTTATAATTTGATTTGTTACTGTTGATTAATTCAACGATAACTAATAAAGTAATAAGAATACTAAACTTAAAATGATAATAAGTATAACTCTTTATTTTTTGAGAAAAATATTTCTCCGATCACCGGAGATAAAATATTTCGAGTGAGTCTAAAATTTTGGGTTATAAGATTAAAAAATTATAATAATAAAAATTAATATAACACTGCAATAAATTATAATTACAAAAATATTTTAATTCCTGTCACAAAACAACATTGTTTTGGACTTATCAAAGATAATTTATCTTATTTTTTCCCTTATTTTTTTTACATTAAAATAATTTAACTTTACCAAACTAGATGCCCCCCAAATCCCATATCAGGTGTACCACGTGTCGTGGGCTGAGTTCATAGAAATACTTTAAAAGGTAAATCACAGCCGTTTATCATCAACTATTGTTCGTGAACGCCGTCAACTAGTACACAATTTAGTTTTGCCCTAAACCCCTAAACCATATATTTGAGCGAATTATAAGGTATAGGGTTTATTTGCTGCTTGCAATTATAACTAGAGCTTGTGAGTCGGATGGATCATCCCTTTAGTTCTTAATATTCGATAATTTTTTTGACTTTCTTTAATCGGTGATTTCCATTAACTGAATTCGTTTATCTACTTTATTTTATTTTTTTAGGGATTTTGAGGGTGCAATGGCTGCCAACAACGTTCCCCCTTCTGCCATCGATAAAGAACAGGCAGGTATTCTTTTTTGTTTCTCGGATTTTGGACCGTCAGAAGGGACTTTCATTGCTCGCTAGGGTTTTTTTTTTTTTTTTTTGAGTTGTTTTTTATGCATTGCTGGAAAAACTGGTCTGGGGTTGGTGGTTGTTAATTTGATGCCCCAATGTGATTTCAACTTTGAATTTTGTTTTGGGTGTTATTTGATTATTTATCTTTGCTTATTTTTTTAATGCATTTGAATAATTCATTTTGAGCAGATTTTTGGAATGGCTGAAAAGGAGATGGAGTATAGGGTGGAATTATTCAACAAGTAGGTTTCCCTGATTTTTCCCTCAAATCCCTGCCCCTTTTATTTTTTTGACTAAGTTAGACAATTTGTTATCTAACATCTATAAATTCCTCTGCCATTGACAAGTTTTCTTGCTCTTCGTATGAACTCAGCTGATGAACCTCATTCTAACCTAGAAATTTAGGGAGATTCTAAGTTGCAGTACAGTATTTACTTTGATAGTATTTGCTGTTGTTAGCAAGTATATATAGAATCTGACTGCATTTTGTTTCGGAAGATTTATTGGTGGTATAATAATTCATTTGGCTAATCCTTTGTTGTTTTCACCATTCAGGATGACCCAGACATGTTTCAACAAGTGTGTTGAAAATAGGTTGGAAAACTCTCTTCTATAAACTGTTTGATGCCCTTTGAAGGTCCTCCAGTCAAATTGGGGATTAGTTTCTTATTCCTCAGTAGGAGTTATCAGCAATGGAATTATTTGGATAAGAGCTAAATGTGAATGATATAATTTGTTTATCACTTTATCTTCTCAGGTACAAGGAGTCTGAGCTAAACATGGGTGAAAATAGCTGCATTGACCGCTGTGTTTCAAAATACTGGCATGTAAGATGTTGCTTATGTTTAATTTTGGATGTATCCCTCGCACTTTTTGAGTTTTGACCTATTCATTATTACTTTTTCACAGACCCGCTTAATTTATTTTTGTTGTTTCTCATCTAAGATAGTTCCTCAGATGTTTTAGGAAAAAATTTAGTTGGGTTTAATATATGCTCTCTTCCAGATTTCTGCTGTTCAGAGTTGTGATAATAGTCTCCATAATTTGATGATGTGATGCAAAGCAATTTTAAGTATATGGATTATGGAAGTTCTGATTTCAATATAGTTTTTGCTTTTGAAATCATGAGAAACTGCAAATGTTGACTACAGTCATTGTCTTGTCTGAGCAGTTTTTTTTTTTTTGGCCAGGTGACTAATCTAATTGGTCAGTTGCTTGGTTCTGGGAGGCCTCCAATGTAAACCAAGAGTACTGTTGTGTTTTCTTTTGCGGTTTACTCTGTCTGAGCTACGATAAAGCGTAAATTTATTACTTTGCATGGTCTTTATTTTTGTCCATGACTATATTGACTATTGAGGTCAATCTGTTTTGTTTAGAAAGGGATTGATATTTGCTGTGAACTTGAGGCAGTCCACCGTAAACTCTCTAAATAATTTACTAGTTAATTAAAGATCATTCTTCCTTTCTAATTTATGCTTTTTGGCCTTGCGCCAAGTTTATCATTGTATTATTCTATCAAATATATTTTGAACTTTATTATCTTGCTGCCTCATTGCGTTTTCGTTCTCGAACATTGAACACGTTTTCAGCTTTTTTCTCCTTTACTTGATTATCACGAATATCTACTATAAACTCGAATTAAGAAATTAATACCTCATTATGAGGAAATGAAATTTGTAGATTAAAATTATATTATTTCACATGGGAAACCCATTGGCAATAATGGGAGTAATGAAAATAATATTTACGATATTATAACATAAGTTTCACCAAAGTTCATCTCTCGAAAAAAAAAAAATTGGATACACATCTCTCGAAAATTTGAGAATTGAAACATAAGCTCATATATAGCGTAACAAATCATACAATTTTTATCTTTCCGTTTTTGAGATGAGATTAAAATTAACTTTATCATATCAATAAAAATTGCTTAAAGGTCAATATTTTCATGTTAAAATTTTCTCTTTCACTTTAATTTCTCTCTTTTATGACACAACCTGTTCTGAGGTAACACCTGATAGTGTATCTAATATAATCAGTTAGGATTGTAAGTGATATATTCTGTTATTAGTGCTTGAGCCTTTAGTGAGTAGAATAGCTTAATATATATAGATTATACCTGTAACACTTAAGCTCTCAAGATTCTTTTCATAATATACAAAGATTACAGATTCCAGTTTCTTTCGCTAAAGTCTGATACCTTACAACACCAATTATGATATATGGTAATAGGGTAAGTGTATGGAATGGATTAAGGTTGTATGGTGTATGGTAATAGGGTATCAATGGCGTACATGTCAGAATGTGTGGGCTTAGTTCAAATAGTGAATGCAATGTATGTGAAGTGTGTTCCTTTGATACAATGGACATATTTATAATGGCCATCATGAGCGGTTATGGGAGGAAAGTGTGGGTCTGAAGCAGTTCTCTTAGAAGAGATCGTAGTAGTTGCATAAGAGGATGATGATCGTGGGATAGCACCCACGATCCGGCCTCGGAGATTAGGCTCCAAGCCGGGTAAAGGGAGTAATTCGGTGAGAAGGCCCAAACCAGGAAAGAGGCCCAAGTACAGGCCCAAGAAGGGTAACGGGTTAAACCCGGAACACAACCAAAAACGTATCTTCACAATATTTGGACTTAAAATTTTACAGTGCTAGTGGTTGTTTTCAACTTGTGTGTTGCTATACTTTCAGAATTTGATGCATGCAGTTATAGTTGAAAGCAAGATGAGACTAGGAGAGTACAAATTCGAAACTAAGGGCATACTTGAATTCAGTTTTCAAAATAATTTTTTAATTTCCAGAAGAAGAAAAAATCTATTTGATAATGCCTATTTTATAAAAATAATTCTAAAAATTATATCTATTTTTTAATTTTTAGATTCAAATTTAAAGAATATATTTCAATCATTTCATTGACTACTCTACAAAAGAACACAATAAAAAAAGAACACAATCAAACAGACCATTTCCCAAGTCTTAAAATAATGGATACATACTACAATTTCAAGTTTTGGTGAAAATGTTTAATGGGTTTGAGGGTATCGAATCCTTTAAGCAGGAGTGAATCGGCTCTGACCAGAAATATGACATCTTTATACGAACTAGAGCAAATTGAGATTCACAGTCACAGCCGTAAAAAATAAAAATATATGAAAATAATAATAATAATGAAGGAGCCATAGATAATGAGAGAAAATACTGGATAGAGAAAGATACATACAACTAATGCTTGTAATATTTCCTTGAGAAATGAAGGGAAACCAAAAGAAAAGAGAAAAGACTATACACTTCAATTTCTATGCTTTCTGGTTTCAAGTGTTGTGCCGTCTTTAAGACTTTCTTGTGCATCATTGTCCATCCCAAGGCTGAAGAGAGCCACAGCTTGAAGATAGAATGCAGTGGACCAGGTAGGTGATATTGATTGAGCTTGCATGGCATCTCCTAGTGCTTCTTGTGGCATGTTGTTCATCAGGTAACATAAGCACCTCCTTGCATACACAGTTGGTGATACCAAAGTCCCACCATCGATGAACTACACAAAACAAGCAATGAGAAAAAAACATTTAGTTTGTTCAGTTGCATAATAGTCTAATTTATTTAGCATGTTTGGTGAGTTATGAAAACCCCTTTTACTCTACCAGCTAATTATTCATTGTTCTGGCCAAATACTAGTAACCCTTAAAATTGAATTAGAATCAAGATGAACTTTATTATCCACCGTGAAGTTTATAATAGGAGATTATTTATTTTGTTAAAAAAATGGAAATCTAATTCTGCATGCTATTTTGATAATTTATACTGGATTTGTATTCAGTGCATTTCTAGCTGACTTACTTGTGAATAGTAGTTGATGGCCGTAGAGAAGTCTCTGGCGTGAAAAGCAGAATCTCCATGCTTCTTAGAATTTAATGATTCTTGTATTTGATCTGTCCACATTTGGAATGAAAGCTGTGTTGCAAAGAAAGGACACGGCCAAAAATGCAATGTACAAGGTTAATGAAGGTCAAGTTTGTAAGAACTATACAACTAGACATCTTCACTGTACTACCGAATTAAACTTTTTTCCAAAGAAATATGATAATAGCCTATCATAGCATTCTTCTCTTAATAAAATCTGCCACGTGAGAAAGAAATATGGGGAGAGATTGAATTACCTCATTTGCAACATCTTCATCATCCTTGTACCCCACCCTTTCCAAAATTTCATGTATTGTAGTGAGATCTCTTCTAGAACAAGCTTCACCAAAAGGTGTTAATGAAACTGTTTCCTTTGATGATGCACTCTCTTCGGGTATGCCCAACAAAACTTGTGATGTAACCTGATAAATAACACCAGGTGCAAAACAAATAAGTTTCTATGCTTTCATCGGGTTTCACTAACATGGTACAATACAAGTTACTTTGATCCTTGATTGATTCTTGTTAAAGGAAACTTCAGACAAAAGGAAGGAGGGAAAAGGAAGACCATACTGAAGTTTCTTTCTGAAGAGGAGTTAGAGCAGTCACAAGTGACTTGGCATTTGGCCTCTCACGGGGTTCATATTGTAAACAACGCGAAGCTAATCTCACTAACTCAGTTCCATCATCATTTGAAAAATGGCCTTCCAAACATGAGTCCATCAGCAACAGAAAATTTTTACCTCGTATAAGGTCAAGTGCCTGCATGCAAAAGGATTATGGTACCCATTTTATTTATGAACTCTATAATTGTTGTGATCATTTTAGGCCAATACATAATAGTTCAAGCACAAGTCCCTAAAATTCTAGGGGTTAAAGATTCACTTAACAAAATACCACCGTGAATTAAAATGAAGAGAAGAAAATGGAAGCAGGGAGCGTACATGACTGGGTGGGATATGCTTGCCACTCAGAAGATCAAGCAAAAGTGTGCCGAAGCTGTAAACTACACTTTCTTGGGTGATTCTTCCTGCCAAATTTCAAACAACTGTGTTGGCTCAGAATGCATAAAATACCAAAAAAAGATATAGCCCCAACCCAATAAAAAGATATATAAGTAACAAGCTAACACCAATCATGAAATAAACAAGCTTTTTCCACTTCAACAAGGAGAAAAAAAAAATGTAAGAGCATAAATGCCTATGTCAATGAATATGCCCCATCCAGCTCACTTTAATTGAAGAGAACAGACAACTTTTCATACAGAATCAAAGGGAGGAAAATGAAGGCCAAGACACTAATGATGCTATATAATTCGACAAGCTTGGGTGCAGGCTGCAGCAATCTCAACTGCTCCTGTAATGGCATTCACCCCTTCCTTCATGTCTTCAGAAAGGCGAAGACATACACAACTTACGACAACCTAGTATAAGATCAGCTTTTTGAAATAAAAAATTATTACCAGTCCTCAAATACTCTGGAGGGGTGAAGGCTAAATTTGTACTGTAGCTTTTGCCATCTCTGCTGTTTTTCATGAGTCCAAAACAAGAGAGTCTAGGGTTGCCATCCTGTCCACCATTAAAACCAAGTAAACAACAGTTGATAAAACATAATGATTTAAAGAAGGCATAAACCTGGTCATAAAAGCTTAAGAACCTGATCAAACAAAATTCTATAAGCATTAAGGTCATGGTACAATGCCCTTCCACTACTGCTGCAGTATTCCAAAGCTTGTGCTAAATACAAGGCCACTCTCAGCCTCATTGCCCATTTCATTGGCTGGGTCTCCCCTACCATCCAAATCATAATCAGAGATTCACATGAAGTTTAAGATTTCACAAACTACCATTAACAAAATGGGGAGGAAGCAAACTTCTTAAATTCAGCTCTTAATTTAGCTTATTAAGCAAAATGTCTAATCCGTGTCTGTCAGTGTCTATCATTGCCAGCATATGGCATATATCAAAATACTTCTCCTATCTGTTAACCAATGACAAGTTAGATATTTATATCATGCTCTAGTTGATTGATGAAGAAATGCAAGGTAGAAACAGAAATGAATGAAACTCACAATGAAAAAGATGCTTGGAGAGAGTTTCATTGGGCATAAACTCTGCAACAAGCAATCTCTCTTCACCTTCGCAGCAACAACCAACCAAGTTAGCCAAACGTTCATTCCGCAACTGCCCCACTGCACGTGCTTCCTCCTTAAAAATCCAACCAACCAACCAAACACATCAAACATCAACTTCAACTCACATAGATGAAAATGCAAGCAAAAATCAAAGAGAGTAGCACGAACTAGGAACTGTCGAGAATCAGGCCAAGCAGACTTGTTGAAGCGCTTCACAGCAACAAACCTATCATCTTCGATCCTTCCTTTGTAGACAACATTAGGAGCCTTCTCACCATGTTCTGAGACAATATTGTCAGGTGAAAATCCTGAAGTAGCAGTTCTCAGTTGATCCAAGCTGTACTCAGTGAAGCCAGCCCAAGGATCCTTCTTCTCATCCTTCTTCACATCCTCTGTACCCAGAAACGAATCCATGTTAAAAAACAAAACTTCAATTTGAAAACACAATGATGAAGTGAAAAACATTAGCTTTTTCTTGTTTTTTCAATTGCCCCAGATAGTGAAAAGTAACTTAAGTCTTCACCATTATCAGGCAAGTCCTGAAGATTTGATTTTGTGTTGCAGGGACACCAGCATAGACAGAATTTAGAGCAACGAGCTCCCATAGCTGAAAATGCAGCAATACTTCAACACTTGTTCTCTCTTTCTCTCTTCTTAGGGAAAAAGGATAAGGTGGGGGCAAAGAAAGAGGAAAAGAGAGAAACTTGATGGGAAAAAAATAATCTTTTTTCTCAGATCCAAAGGATTTTTGTTTGGTGGTATGGTATCAGTCACCACCTCTCCATCATTTCCCCTCTGCTTTCATTCCCTCTTGCTCTGCACACACTCTTCTTTCTCTTTCCTTACTCTAGTATACTATTTTCTTAGTTCTTTATAAGATTTTTTGGGTTTCATTGGATTAGATGAATTGTTCAAGTTTCTTTATGTAATAAACGATTTTATCAATTACTATCAATATATTAATATTCGAGGACATAAGATTTTCTCTTTCTACTCACACTTATATCATTTTCTCTAATATCTTAATCCCTGTACTTTCTTTTTTGTCAATTATTTTTTTTATATAAATAACAGTAGATTAAAAAAAAATACATTTGTTTAAATTGAATGGTTAGACTTGTGTGAAGTGTCAGCAATTTCTTTTATAAAAAGGTATTAACCAATTTATATAACAATTTTAATACTTACTAATTATAGTGGGTTTTAAAATATTTTTAAAATATCTATAAATCAAAATTATAAATGGCTTAACATTTTTTACTATAACTTATTTATTTTACAGTTTAATCTAAAGCACTCAATATCTGACTTGAGTTCGATGAGGAAAGAAGTGTTGTCGTTAACATTTTTATTTTCGTTTCTATTGCAAATTTCTACTAGGTTGGCCCGGTTTTTCAGGGAATGTTTGGTAAAAAGAAAAAAAAAATTATCTGAGAATTTCAAATTTTAAAAATATAATAAAAATATTCAATTTATGATAATATTTAAAAATTAAAATTTTAAACAAATTTAATTTTTCAAAAATTCTAAAAAATGACGCGTACCAAGCACCGTTGCAACTTTTTGTGTTGTTGTCTGAACAGCAGTAACAATTATAATGTCTTACGTGAATCTACAAATTGTGATTGGACACACTGTAGGAAATCGCTATCAATGGCCCGACAAATGATATCGCCACCTTGATATATAGGGTCAAAGTTCAAGTAAAAGATAAGTCCCAATATCGTGTACATATTATTGTACTCAAGCTGTAGATATAGTTGCATCTATAAGAGACTTAATAATTGTGCAGTCCTTTTCACCATAATACTAAAGTAGTAACTAGACAGACTTAAGACCAAGATTGAGAAGGCTTTGCTCTTGTTGCATAGTTTCAACAAGTATATTTCTAATATGAGAAAACATATTATTTTGATTTGCTCAATCAAATTCCTTTTTTGTTTTTTAAAATTGTAATGATTCATAAGATCCTGTTTGATTTTTATGACATATTATTTCAGCTTTTGCTTGCTTGTATTCAAAGTCTTGACCATCCATTCATACTGCAAAATCCTTTTATCTAGAATTAACTTTATCAAATTAACCATGGCCTAATCCCTTGATCTATTTGATTTGAAATTATACTTCTTTCAAGATTTTTGAGAAAGATTATGATTACACAAGGTCCTCACATAGTTACGTCCATATAAGGGTGGTGGAGCCACTTGCTTCTCACTCAGGCCCAAGTTGATTTTCAAAAATGCTGCATATTTTCTTTAAAAATCATGGTATAATCTTGGTATTAGTTATATTTTTAAAAATAATATAATATTGCTACTAGCTAAATTTTAATAATTGGGTCTTTTGGCACTAGTTGTATCTTTTATCAGACTCTGCCACTGTGTAAGGGTATGAGAGAATAAATTTTTGGTATCTAGATTCAGTGCATCTCATTGATGAGATGCATGACACATCAGAGAAGAGAAAAAAAAAATCTGACAAAAAAAACAGAATTTTAGCTAACATGTAATATTTTTATCGGTGAGATGTACTAAATCTTTAGTACAATACCAAACATCTATTCGGTATGAGCCTAATGCTTATGGAATTGTGCCCATTCTTTAACACAGTTTGGTTAATGTTACCTTTCATTTTAAGATAGTGTAAACTGTGAAGAGATGGAAATCACATCCTGTTCCAGCTATTCTGCAAACAATTGTTACACCATAATAATGGAGGTCTTTGCGGAGACGCCCTATCTGGTTAAGGAAATCTTCATAAAGGGTTTTTTCTTGATCAACCTTTCAAGCTCTCTCGTTCACTATAACCTAAACGGGCTCAGCTGGGCCTATTTGCCATTATTGTCTCCTGCATATAGGAACTGTCTGGCACACGAACAGACCCTCTTTGCCTTATAGATTAAACAAAAACTATATGGCAAGAAGCAAAAGTAGATAGCTAGGTTTTGTAAAAAAGACTCAGTCTGAAAAAAAAAAAATCATGGGGTTTCGGATGAGAGTAGAAGAAAGGGACTAACAAAACCCTGTCTAGTTAGTAATTATATTAGCTACAATAAAAATTAAGCGATATTAGAAAGATAAGCATTAAAAAGACACAGAATTCTGTATTATTATTAAAAAATAGATTTTGTTGACATGTGTACTAAATCGTATGTTAATAAATAAAAATAATATTTATTATTTAGCTTAATTATTTAAAAAAACTATTATTAAATATATAGTTTTCAATCAATATTTTTTATTTGTTGACACATGTCCTAACACACATGTTAACAAAACTCTTAAAATTTATATAAATTTGATTTTTATATTAATTTATATAACATAGAGTAAATATCCTTTGTAGTTCTCAGCAAATTTCACGATGCTCACTTTAATCCTTAACAAATAAAAAGGCTATTCGTGGTTTCTAATAAATTCAAAATAGACCTATTTAGTTGAAATCGTGGTCCCTCACAAATTCAAAAAAGATCCACATTAATCCCTCAAAAGAACTAAAATAGGTTCACTTTGAATTTCTTAGGGACCACGAATAGCCTTTTTATTTGTTAGGAACTAAAGCGGATATCGTAAAATTTGCTAAGGACCGAAAATGGTATTTACTCTATAAAATATAAGGACTTGAGGTAATAATTATGTTTTCTTTATATTTTGTGTATTTTAATATGGGGAAAAGAATTTTTATGTTGTAGGAAAATTCTTTCCGCTAATAATAAATTATCGAATTGTGTATAATACTTTTTTATTATTTTTAATAGCTAATGAGTCCCGCCACATCTTATATCTATAATAGGAGATGGAAAAAAACTATATTGATTTAGAAAAAAAAGGACCCTTTCGGCATTACCCTAAAGCTTAGGGCTATTTATGAGCAAAATGGCAGTAGAAAAAAAAACTTTTTTCCGAACCTGACGCCGCGGCAATAGCTAGACTTGCTTTTCGTCAAAGAGAAGAGCCTCCGGAAATAAAAGTGCACTGCAGAGACAGGCACGGGATCTCGTGGATTTACATCTTTTCATGTAATTTGAGTAATTTGACAATGAAATGAAAGGACAGAGGAAATGCAATGTTATCAGTACACATTTAATAGAAAGGGTAAAACAGCAGTGGGTTTGATAGGAAAGGAAAATCAATGTGATGTAACAACTAACGTATCCTATATATCATGCATGCTCCATTCAGTATCACAGGGGAAGAGAATGTAAATGGAAAAAGGCTTTGGAAATCAAGGAAAGGAGTAGCAGCAAGCACAAAAGCAGTCACCATTGCACTGTGTGTGGGACATAGCATTATTATTAAATTACATCATCGGATCGAGCTACTGTTAGCATGAATTGGTCACTTCACACGGATTCTTTCTCCGGTTACCTTAACTTAACCCCCTTGTCAGGGAGGAACATCAACTAGGTAAGTGTATCTGTCTTCTTTGGGTGTGATATATGTTTTGTATGAATAAGCTTTTAGTTAATCTAAACTCTCCCTTTTATCTCATTATTCACGTTCTTTTATATGTTCTATTAGCACTTATTATTAATGGACATAGGGTAGTTATTCACTTAACGATTATATTAATCGTGGTCTTATCAATAGAAATTGGAGCTCACTTTATAAGTTTAGAATATCCGAGTTAATTCTAACTAAATCACAAGAGTAAAAAGACACTGGGCAGGCTAAGTCCATCCGAGTTACAAATCCGGAACACCTCTTCTCCCCTAACCAGCCAATTCCATCCTCACTTCTTCATCCTCCGAGACTCTCGGAAAATAAAGAGAATAAAAGCAAAAATACAAAAAAAAACCGAATCTTCTTCTTTTCATTTCTTTTCAAATTTTTTAATTTAATTAATCCTAAGCATGTTTTCTCGTATGGGTTCCTCATCTTACACGCTTCATGCACACTCAATGGTGGCCTCGTTATTTGAGGATAAAAAATTGAAAATCTGAAACTTTTTTCCACTGATTTCTAAGAGTAATGCAACTCAGTCTTATCGGCCTTGCTAACGAGAAATACGTAGCAGCATAGTTTATTTTACTCTCTTTTTTTTACTTTTTCAGCCTTTGCTGCTTCACATGTGTATACTGTTTCGGGCACTTCGTTGGTGTTCAAAGCTCTAGCAGCATAGAATTTAATCATTTTGACACTTCAGTTGATCTGTTTGCGCCACGAAATTCACTTTTAGTAGAGCCAGAGATTCAAAGAAATCGAGCAGCATAAACCGGCATGTGTGAATCAAAGACCAAGTTTAAAGTTCCACATCAAGCAAATCATTAACATTAAAAAGCATGTAAAAAGATCAAAACTACCACCTGTACGTTTGTACAAGAAGCAAAATTCAAACTCAGATTAAGGGTGGTGGGAATAACAATCCCAACCAGAACTTGCACCAGTTCTTGGAGCCTCCTTCAGTCTGAGTTGATCATATGATGTATGTCTACGACATGAGAAGCTCATGTTGTTACAATGACAACATATTACCTTGAGATGGCATATTAAGTGTGGTCAGCCAAATAATAGAGACAAATATGTATGGAATACCAGAAGCTAAAATACAATTTACTCATACTATTCACACTTCAAATGATTGATATTTGATAAAGCTGATTTATGATCGAGTCATGAACATGTAAGGCTTTCACCTATATGCAGCAGATATGAGTAAGCGATACTAACCCGTGTTAGAAAGATTTAAAAAAAAAAAAAAACGATTCTTTGCTGGTTACCCATATTGTGCATTTAATGGAGTAGAAGATATCAGATATGACTTCACTTCATGTTAATTTTAGACCCTACCAACTGGAGAGTGCGGAGGATAAGCGACATAACTTGCAGGAATGTCCTCAAATTTACCAAAAGCCTTTAGTTCATCCGTCTGCACCAATAGAGTTTCCCTCAGATTTTTTCCTTGAATGGAGTTTCTTGATTCAGAAAGTTCATATGGGATCTTGCCATCCACCAACGCTATGCAGATGGAGAATGCTTGCAAAAGTGAGAGTGATGCATCAAAAGCTACTGAATATACTCCAGGCTTAAAGTGGGAAAAACTGAAAGCACGCTGGTTCTCTTGGTCTTGGTCATTCCCCTGTAGTTAGCATTGATTGTTATAAACAAACACATTGCTAATCAATTACCTACAGGCTGGCCAACTAAGATTAATCATCAAAAAGCTAAGAACGATAACCAACTTATATTAATCAACAGAAAGTACCTCGATGAAAAGCTCAAATTGATCTGCAAAATAAGCTTTCGATGTTCTTGATTTTCTACAGGCTTGGTTTTCATTCGCTAGAATTTTAAGTTTACAAGCCAAATCCCAACCACCACAGTCACATGATCCACCTGTTTTCCAGCGCTCAATCAGTGATGATGGTCCACCATTACTTGGAAGACTATGAACCCCACTTGGGAGCACAACTGTTACATGTAGAAGGTCTTGACTATCATTCTGGCAACCACTCTGATGTGCATAATTGATGAAATTGATAGGCTTGGGTGATTTGACAACAATAGCAGCAAGCTCATCATCTGGCTGATAGTCAGTGACCTGAGCATCTCCCTGCTTTAGCTTTACAGAAAACAAAACAAACTCTTTTGTGGTAGAGGAGTTCACACAATTCTGGCTAGTTGAATCATAGTTGTATGAATCAGAAACCTTCATTTGAGCAACAACACGGTGAACGTAATCAGGACCTTTGCTTTTGCCTGCTTGACTCATCCAACTTCCATTCTTCTTTTTAACCTCCTTAAAGGTGAAAAAGGTATAGATACAGTTGCATTCATCTTTCCTTGAGACAGTTAAGTTCTTCACTGTGGCTGCAAGAATGTTGCCATTGTTGTCAACAGCAAATGTAAAACGTGGTTGACCATTCTTCACAGAAATGCTCAGAAGAGCTTGACACATGGAAGGCACATACTTCTTGTCCTTTGACAAATCAGCAGTATTAGTTATGGTACAACCGACCCTCTGGTCCCTGTCCAATTCTTTCTCCGGCAGTAGAGTGGAAAATTTCCCATTACCTGACCTACAATTCTTATTTACTAACAACGAATCTTTTTGAGATGACTCCTTGGAGTGATGGACGTTTGTTGCCTTTGGTTTCAACAGTGGATCCAGTAATCTCCTTAAAGGGCTGGACCTGCTTTTGCCAGCATCACCAGATTTATCCTTGCCTGAAATGTTTGAGCTAGCATAACCTCTTGCATTTTCAGAACTAGATTTAAGTGCTGCTATGGAGCTCTGATGTGGCACATGAGAAACCTCTTTACAGCCAGAACCTTTATTTGTAAAGCCAATGCTGAAGCTAAATCGACGAAAAGGTGAAGAGCTTCTTGATTTCTCAGTAGTTACTTTCTGGTCTAATCCCTTCGGAGGCCTATTTGAAGATGAAGATGTAGCAATGGTGTGTTTCCTTTCCTCAACCTTTCTAGATCTACATGGACTTATTCCCATTCTGACTGGTAGAGGAGCTGTTAAAGTAGGAGCAGGAACTTTGTTATTTTCTAGATCAATGGAACTGGATCCAGACCCTTTAGGGTGAGAATGGCTTCCAATAAGTTCATCTGGCACAGGACAGGAGTGTGAGATTTCACTATTCAGATATCTGCAGGAAGGTTCCGTAGGTTTTTCTGAAAATCTTGCCCGACTAGGACTTCCTAACTTTTGACCCAAGGATGTTCGCATATCAGGAGCTCCACAATGACTGTTCTGGGGGATGTCTCTGGGCAAAATAAGAACAATTGGTTTGCTTTTCCCAAGCATACCTTGCTCAACAGTATCAACATCATGTTCTCTCAAATTCTCCACTTTCTTTTCCATTGCACCATCTTGAGTGCTCATTCTCAGCTTAGCACATGATGCTGCCTCATACATTCGGTCATTTGGCAAGATGTCACTTTCCTTATTAATATGTGGATACAGATGTTTCCTGTCACATCCTTTCAGTATACTAGCACGATGGTTTTTGGAAAGGGGGTCACCAGCTCGAACATATTTGCTCTCTGTGTCAATATTACTGTGCCAACCTCTAAGATTCTGACAAGTTCCAACACTTCCTCCAGAGGATTTGACAGGTTTAGAGTGGTCTTGTATTGAAGATCCCATAAGATGAGATTGCAGTGATGGACGAAATATCCTTTGATGAGAAGGAGACCAACTATGACCTCCACTAGAATTACCAGATAATCCCTCATTTGAAACAGAAGAGGATGTAGCACTAGTAGATGTCGAGCTCCGGCTGCTTCTATGGGGTACATATTTATGGCTGTGCTGCCATTGTTCTAGACGGAACCAATCAAGGACCCCAACATTTAAAACTTTCTCAGGAATTTTTTCTCCCCTCTCCAAATAACCTGGTAAACTTGACATGTACTTAACCAGCTCATCTTCCTCACTAGCCTTTCCACAAGTCGCTTGCCTTTGCTGATTTCCATAAGATTTTAAAGAGTTGTCTTCCTCGCTTTTGGTAATTTCATGATGCAGATCAGCATACGACAAATGAGACTTCTTTGGTTTTAACCCGTAATTCAGTTTTCTACTCATGGTGGTGGATAGTTCCCTAGATTTCGCTCCAACCTGACATCAGCTGGATCAACTTTCTGAGCTCCAGCTTTGAAAACAAAACCAACTTTTTGTCTTCCAAATAGATTGCAGTTGGGAAAATGCTCTTGCTTGTTTTTCAGCTGCACAACTGAATTATATTTACAAATCAAACTTCCAAAAACAAAGATTTCATGCTAATTGAATCATCACCTATTGAGAATAAACAAATATATCAATATCAGCGATGTCTTCTACGACCATCTAATTTATATTTCCTCACTTCAATATCCATGTGAACTAAATGCAAAACCAACAAGTGATATGACAATAGCAGGGAGTTAAATCTAACTAACAACTAAACTATATTAAAAACAAAGCAAGCAAAAATTAAACCTGCTTTGACTTTAATTTGATCCGCAGCAGTAAGAAATAAGAAAATGCAATCAGGTTAATTCAAATGGAAAAGCAAATATAATGGTAACAATAGATAAGACTGAAAAAATCTTTCACTGATAAAAGCATAATAAGCCTTTAGAAAAAAAGGTCCCCTAAAATTGCTACACCTCCCCTAACCCTGTTCATAATAGAAAGTAAAGGGTAAAAGTGGTAGCTCCACTTTCAAGTGTCTGCTATATCACTTTCTGCTCTCAATTATTCCCAATCTGATGATGACAAGTGAATGAGGTGACTTAACGTCTACAAAGCTCAACTGCTCAAGATGAGAAAAACCAGGGGAGTTATATAACAGATTGAATAATATTTGAAAATGAAAATTAAATTAAATGTTGGTTTATGAGTTAATGCAAATTTTAAAGTTAAATTAAAAATCAAATAGATTAGTAGTGTAGTGTAGGGACAAAACCGAAATCACAGAAGATAAAAAAACAAATAGAAGTGGTCCATGCAATCCCATATTTTTTTGAAAATCTAAACGATAAGGCATCATGCAACAACAACGACTATTATCAAATCTTTTGCCAAAACTAACGGAACAGTTAAATACTCCATTATTCCAAGCTATTCAAGACTCGAATTTCAAATGAAGGAATAGTAGGGCCTCGTTTGGAGTTTGGTTGATTGGTCACGACCATTGAAAGGAAAAAAAAATTTCATAAAATTAGAAGAAGAATCTAAATGCAAATGAACACCCCAAACTCTAATTTGAAGCTCGAAACGCGTACCAGAGAAGCGGTGAGGAACGCAGAAGCGCAAAAATGCAAAGAAACGTAGGATCCTCTAGCTTGGAGAGGAAGCAAGGAGTGTCGGTGCTGTCGTTTAATTACAAAACGACATCGCTGCAGATATGAAGGGTAAACCGAGCAACCACAAAACGCAAACAAGATATAAATACTTATACTGTCGTCAAACTCCAATGTGCGAGAGAGAGAGAGAGAGAGTTCCTCACTTTCTCGCTTGTGTTTTTGTGCAGTGACTGTCACTGTGTCTGTGTACAGTAATAGTCAAGGAAGCTTAAGATGGAAATGGGAGTGTTCATCCAACGGTTAAAACGTTGGGTGAATAATCAAACTGTCGTGGTTAAATAAAGTTGATGGAGGAGTATCTTCCGGGGGGTCCCACTTGATAACCTTGTTGAAAATGATAGATGAGTGGTGGGCTTAAGTGTTTCTTTTTAGAGTCTGGCCCACTTAATTGGGCTCAGGATGGGCTATTCGTAGGTTGGGACTGAATTGAAATCGCTTATTGTCGTTTTGTGCCGTCTTTGGTGAGATCGAGCAATCATGTTTCAATACCAGAAACAAAATATATAGGCAAAAGCAGCTTCAACTTTGGACATTAAAAAATTCAAAAAAAAAAAATTGGGGGGTTTAAAAACAAAGTAATTACGTGTATCCAGACAAAATTATAAAAATTGCAAATATTAATATTTCAATTCCACATTTATATAAAATGGAATCTGCTATAGCATATTCATGTTTCCTGAATTAAAGAAAAGAATATAAATATGTTACGTTTCATAATACAATTAATGAAAGTTTTTTAAATAGTCAAAAGTATAGTGCGCGTTTGCTTTTGCTGAATTATTTTGTAAAGTGGCTTTTCAAACCACGAAAAGCTTTTATATATATATATATATAATATATATATATATATATATATATATGACTTTTGATTCGTCATGTAACAGATCAATTTTTTTTCTTACAAAAGAAACGACAAATTAATTAATATATATGTTTTCTAAATTCCCACTGAATCACCCAATGAAAAATAATCTATATGTTTTCCATTCTCCCCCCTGGTATTTGGTTGCTGTATTTAGCAGACTTTTCTCATGTTTGTTCTTTTTGCAAAGTTAATTTAATTTAGTTTACGTGGGGCTGTCTCTAGCCTTACAGATTACCAAAAATAAAAAACAAATTGAAAAGGCACTCTATTCAATGATTTTATCTTGTTTGTAGTGATTGTATGACACTAATTTTTTACCTACAACATGATTCTTATTTATCCCTTATTTATATATATATATATATATATATATATATATATATATATATATATATATATATATGGCTTATCGTTTCTCAAGCTGCTTGAGATAATCTTATCTCCGGCTAGTAAATCATAACCATACAAAGATGGATCAATGGTGATAAATGAAGAGAGTAAAAAAGAGAATCATAACCATTCAAAAGTGAATCAATTAATATAAAGACATCGTTGTTTTATATTTCTCAAGCAGCTTGAGATAAGTTTATGGGGAAAAACCATTCAAAGGTGAATCAATATATATATATGGGAAAAAACATTTAAGTTTATCTCCGGCTACCCCAAAACTACGTTGTTTTATTAATTTATTTCAGGATTATAATAGTCTTTCTCATTATAATTTTTTAATTTTTCAATTCAAAACGACGTCGTTTTGGGAGTGAATGTAGATAACTCAACTACATTCACTGTAAAAATATTAGAGCCTATATATATATATATATATATATATATATATATATATATATACATTTCGCTTTAAACTTCTGCCAAAGCGGCAAATAAGATGTCTTTGCCTAGAGACATTCTTTTTAAAAAAAAAGTGAGATTCATTAATTTATTTATTTTTTTTGGTAATTCAAAGGGGCAAAGCCCCAGTAAACAAAAAACAATAACAACACCAGAAACAAGAAACTAAACTAAAACCAGAAAACAGAAAAAAGCACAAACAGAACAGGCTTCTCAGGGGAAGGAGCTGGTGTAACCAGGGTCCAACAAATCGGCTGCAAGCAAGTTGAGGAGCCCACTGTGAGGAGGTGCAATAGAAGCAGAACTATGTTGATCATTCATAGCCTTCTTTGCGATCCAATCCGCACAGGAATTACTGGTTCTCTTAATATGCTTCAATGAAACAATCCAATCTTTATTGAGGAAGCCTCGAATCTTAGCTACCAAAGGGAGCTTTCAAGTATCATTACCAGAAGAGGTAAGCATGCTTATAGCTTGAGAAGAATCTGATTCCAGGCCAATTTTCTTCCAACCCTGATTCCATGCAAGAGTTAGACCATGAAGAATGGCCAGAGTTCTGCTTGGAGAGGGGTACAGGAACCAATGAAGGCAGAAAAGCCACTGACCCAAGAGCCTCTCCAATCTCTCAGCAGCCCACCGCAAGCAGCCTTATGCCCATCAGAAGCACCATCCACATTAAGCTTGACAATCTTGTGTAGGAGCAGTCCAAACAGAGCTAGAATAAGAGGGAAGCATTCTCAGATAATCATGGTTTTTATAATCCTTACAAAACTTCAATTCCTCAAAGGAGGCAGCAAGGGTGTGTGAAGGATCAATTGGTCTATTAAAGTCCTCTTCATGGAGTTCTTTGTTCCTCCAGAGCCAAAGAGTATTGCAGGCAGCAAAGAAAACATCCCTCCAATCCCTTGAGTGACCCCTATTATGATTCAGGTTATAAGACATCCAGTCTTTAAAGCAATTGATGTTAAAGAATTCGGCTGGAAGGGGATGAAATAGAGGAAGCATCTAAGTGCTTTTTTCCTTAAAACAGTCTCTAAATGCATGAAGACAGGATTCAACCTTGTCAGGGCAAGAGGGACAACTATCAGATGAACCATTCCATTTTGCTGTTTTTTCCTTGGTTAGGATTCTTTCATGAAGCATCTTCCACATGTGAATTTTCATTCTTTCTTTACCTTTCCAACCCCAGATACGGTCTCAGTCATAATTAGAGGGGCTGGTGCTCAAACTCATTAAATTTCGGTAAGCCATTTTTACAATGGACTGGCCCGGATTCCAATTGTTCCAAGCTCCGTTACACGGACACGCGTAAATTTTTCAAATTTACGTGTCGGACACGCTCGGACACGCGTCCGACACGCGGTCAACATTTGGGGACACGCTCGGACACGTTTTTTTTATTTTTATTTTATTTTATTTTATTTAAATCTTAATGTATTTTGTTAACTAAATATAAAAGAAATAATTTATAAATTAATTTTTTTCTGTTATAAAATTTGACATTAAAACTTAACAAACTATGAAAAATTATTTATATTTATATTTATGTTATGAAATTTAAATATTTAATTGGTTATATGACTTATTATGGACTCTTATATGTATTAAATATAAATCATATTATATATATTAAAAATTTTATTTAATATCAAAACGTGTCCCAACGTGTCCAAATATGACATTTTTTAGAATTAACGTGTCGGCGTGTCGTGTCGTGTCGTGTCCTGTGTCCGTGCATCATAGGTTCCAAGACACAAAGTCCTCTTCGGCTTCCTCTTCAGGGTGCGGTAAGGCTAAGATCTTATGAATCAAATTAACATCTAAATGGTTCAACAGAAATTGCATATTCCAGCCCTCCCGAGAACTAAAGGTACTGTGGTTGATTTTGAAGTTAACTACTTCAGGAGGAGGGGGGTTGGTGGTAAGGGAAAGAAGATTGGGACTTAGACCCGCCCAATTATCCTTCCAAAAAGAGATCCTCATCCCGTTGCCAATCTGCCAAGTAAGGTTACCCAGCATATCAGGCCAAACCTTGCAAAGACTCTTACACAAATGAGAGTCATAGGATTTACAAATAACCTCATTTGACATGTCTTTACTTCTGCCATATTTGGATTTTAAAACCTGAGCCCAAAGGTGAGAGGGTGAGTTTATAATGGACCAAGCACATTTCTGAAGGAATGCTTCATTCTGTTTTCTAAGGTTGATGATCTCCAATCCTCCTTGGTTTTTTGATAGCTTGAGATGCTCCCAGGCAATAGCATGGTTCCTCCTTTTAGACTCTGAGTCACCCCAGATGAAATTTCTTTGCATTTTCTAAATTTCATCACAGATTCCCATAGGGAGAAGACTGTTCTGCATGTGGAACATGGGGATGGCTGAGATGACCGATTTGACCAAGGTAATTCGACCTGCCATAGATAGGCTTTGCTTTTTCCAGCCTTGGAGCCTATTGTTGACTCTGTCCATAATCTCACCATAGTGCTGATTGCTCACTCTACCATGTTTCATAATAATTACACATTGCATTCCGAGAATGTACTGTGTGCGGCAAAAAATTAAATAGTTTTCTGCTTTAATCTTCTGCCAAGGCGGCAAATAAGATGTCTTTGCCTAGAGACATTCTTTTTTAAAAAAAGTGAGATTCATTAATTAAAAAATAATAATAATTACACATGCATTCCGAGAATGTATTGTGTGCGGCAGAAAATTAAATAGTTTTCTAATATATATATATATATGTGTGTGTGTCAAATAATTTCTGTTTCAAAAGCTTAAAAAATTCTCTGCTACGAGACATAAAATTCATGTTTTCTCTCTCATTATTTTATCTCTTATTTCTTTTGCTTTCTTTCTCTATCATTTTGTTTTAGCAGCAGAGAGAATTATTTTTGCTTTTGAAGCATAAATCATTTGCCCCTATATATTTAGGCTTTAATATTTTTACATTAAATATAAATAAGTTATTTATATTCACTCCCAAAATGACGTCGTTTTAGGTTGAAAGATTAAAAATTTATAATGATAAAGACTATTACAATTTTGGAATAAATTATAATTAAAAAAATACCTTGATTTCGCCCTAAAACGACATCATTTTGGAATCATTACATATAACTTATCTATATTCATATATATATTAACATATTTAGGTTAATACACCAAAAGCTATTAAAAACTCTAAATGAATTAACAATACCTTTTTTTTCCTTTAACCTTTGATTTGAGCATAATAATTCATTTCAGAACATTTGACAAAATTCATTATGAACTATCAAATATTATATAATTTAAATAATTTAATATATAAAATTTATGTGTTTTGTACAATTTCAATAAATTATAAATTATAGATACAAAGACTATTATAACCCTGAAATAAATTAAAAT